GTTGATGGTCCCTCCTGGCACAGATTTTCCTGCTTCTCACCACTCCCTTTTCTCCACACGCCTTGGAATGTGGCATTCCTAAGGAAAAAACCCTCCCAGGTTATCTCCCAGACAGAGGCATCTCAGCCCTGCTGATGCTTTGAAGATCTATCAGAAATTAACAATTCCCTGGCAGAAAAAAAATAAAACAACTCCCTGTTGCTCCAAGAAAATCTCATTTTGATCCCAGCTGTGCAGCTATGAAAACAACAACGAAAAGCTGCTTTTTATTAACATTACAGAACCTGAAATGAAGACAACAGGCTCAGCTCAGCTGTTTTCCTGCTCTTTGGACAGTTTTATGGATTTACAGGTCCAAAGATTTGATAAATAAATAATTTAACTAATTAATAATGGATTGTTGTGAGCAGCTGCCAAAAAAAGGAAGGAATTTGGGCTCTCTGAGCAGATCCAGCTGTTTTAGCAGGGACACTCCTACTCAGACACCCGAGGGCAGGTGAGGCTGCCTTTCCCAGCCTTCCCCCAAATGCTGCAGAGATCTGGAATGATGAGGAAATCCCAAACTAAAAACCCACAGACATCCCCTGGAACACCTTCCCAACAGACAGCTCGTGGTGAGCAAAGAATTCTGCAAAAATGTTGAGTTTAAGGGCAGAAATTCCTTCACTGCTCCTTTTTTTTGGGGGGGAGGAGAGGAGGGAGGAACTGGATTTCCAACATCCCATTCCTTGAACACGTATGAGGTGTCCACATGAAGCAAAACACTCCAAAAAAGGAATATTTCAAATTCTTTACACAGCCAATGCTGCTAATTCAAAGAAAAAGCCAGGTCATGCATTTCTCCTCATACTATAGGCCTGCTGCACTGAACAGTCAGGATAATCCTCTGGAAAAAATACTCAGGGAAGAGCTTTTCCATGATTTCTCACACAGGTGTATTTGTATTCCCATGGAACAAAACCAGCTTTGTGTCCTGCTCTCCATAATCCCCCAGACCTGCTGGAATCAGCATGGTTGGGATAAATGAAGCTTCCACCATCCTCCCAAAGGAAGTGTTGCAACAGAAGTGGTTTTGACTGAGGGGACAGAGCTTTTATCTTCATTAATTAATGTGGAATAATTAAGCCTGGCCATGGGTACAAACCTCCTTGGACTGGCTGGCTTTGGCTATGGCATCCTGTGTCAGGCGTTCCTGAACCAGAATCCGAATTGCCTGGGAAAAAAAACATGGAAAGGGGACAGCAATTAATTCATGTCTTGAGGCATTTCTCAGCAATTCCAAGAGAAAAAGAGCCAAAATTATAACCTCAAACCCAGTTTTGTGAGTTTTTTCTTTTTAACTCTTCCAGCCATTAAATCTTTCCATTTAGGAATAATCTTGGCATGCAGGAGCTCACCCAGGTGAGAGAACCAGAAGTGACATGGACATTGATTTCACACCATCAATTCCTGCCACTCCTGGGACAGAAGCTGCAAAATAAAAGGAATAGCCTGGAAAGCTTGGGATTTTTAGCCTGGAGAAAAGGAGGCTCAGGAGGGTGACAGGAGGGAGGAGCCAGGAGGGGGTTGGGATCTCCTGGCAGAGAATGAGAACCAGGACAAGAGGAAATGGCCTCAAGCTGTGCCAGGGGAGGTTTAGGTTGGATATCAGGGAAAATTTCTTCCTGGGAATGGTAGACAGGCAACTGGAAAGGGTTTCACAGTGGTGGAATCCCCATCCCTGGAGGGATTTCAAAGCTGTGTGCATGTGGCACTTGGGGACACGTGGCAGTGCTGGCAATGGCTGGGCTCGGTATTTTCAAGGTCTTTTCCAACCTAAACAATTCCATGATTCCAAAATGAGCTGATAACAATCCCAAGGCAGCAGCACCAAGCTTCTTTTCCTGAGTTCTCACACTTTTTAACTCTGCAGCAATGTTGCTTCTCTGGGAAGGAAATGCTGCCTTGGGAAGGAAATGCTGCCTTGGGATGGAAAGGCTGCCTTGGGATGGAAAGGCTGCCTTGGGATGGAAATGCTGCTTTGGGATGGAAAGGCTGCCTTGGGATGGAAATGCTGCCTTGGGATGGAAATGCTGCTTTGGGATGGAAATCCTGCCTTGGGATGGAAAAGCTGCTTTGGGAAGGAAATCCTGCCTTGGGATAGGAATGCTGCTTTGGGAAGGAAATCCTGCCTTGGGATGGAAATCCTGCCTTGGGATGGAAATGCTGCCTTGGGAAGGAAATGCTGCTGCCAGCATCTTTTAGGAAGTGCTGAACCACCTCCCACATGCAGAGAAACCTGGAGCAAGGCTTCCCAGGCAGGCTTGGAAAAGGCTGAGAGCAGAAAGGAATTAATTTTAGCCTTGGGAACAAGAGCAGCCTTGACTTTGACAATCCTGGTGCTCATCTGTTCTCCCTGGCTCCAGCACATGGGGTGAAATCCTATCAGAGCTATCAGTTACTGATACCTACAGCTCCAAATGCCTCCAAAAATAACTGCAGGAATACCATGCAGGCAGATTTCCACAGGAAAGAACTGGCTCTGTCAAACACATTGCTCAGACTCTCCCTGATGAGCAGCCAAAAGTGACAGAAGCAGCTCCGTGCTTCTCGCCCAGCATTTCTCCCAGTTTTGGTCATGATTAAAGTTGAGCTGATACCAGAAAAGTTGTCACTTAAATACTTGTAGAAATCTGTCACTGAAGGAAGTGGCCTGGACAAAGGGATGGTTTGATGGGGAGTTTAATTCCAGCAGTGAAACCAGACCCTGTGGAAGAGAATTCCAAGTGCCTTTGGCATGAGGAAATATCCAACCGTGTCCCACAGATGTTTTCTGATCAACTTGCCGGGTTTAAATGAAGAAAACGAGATTTAAATCTCTGCTCCCCCTAGCCAGATGTCTGTGGTGTGCCTGCACCCTCTGGCTCTCCCAAAACATCCACTCCTCAGTGTCCAAGGCTGGATAGGGATCAGAAATTCCCTGCAAACCTGCTTATTGTGGGGGAGAATTGGAGAGTTTGACTGACACCTTCTAATATCATCATCTCAACCCCAAAACCAGCTTTGCATTGTTCCTGGAATGTGAATTTTCACTGCAGGAATCCACTCTCGCTGGAATTAAAAGCAAGAAAATTCAGGCTGGTTTTGACCAGATCTGTCTGAAAAAAAGAGATGTGGAAATAAAACCACATTTATGCAGAATTCTAAATCCTCTAGAGTTTCCTTCAGAGAAGATCTGAAGGAATTTTGATAAGAGCAGAGCTCATTCATGCTGCAGATCCTCAGTATCACCACACCCAGGTCTCCTCTCCCTACCTGATACCCCTTTTCACTGATTTTTGTGGGGTTTTGAGTGTTTTTTGGTGGGGGGTATGAGATTTCCATGCTCCTTAAAGATTGGAGAAGGGTATTTTGGGAAGAGAAAGTAGAAAAAAAAGGAGGAAAAAAAAGAAGGAAAAAAAAAAAAGGATGGAATAACTGCAGGCTGAGAATTCCTTAAGAAACCAGGTTACCATGATGTCTTCCAAGATTTTCAGACTTTCACTAAATAAACTTCAATACCCACAGCTTTTGGTATCTCCAAAATAAGTTTTGCAAATGTCACAACTATTGTCATAAACAGAACTTTATGGTTTTTTTTTTTTCAGTGAAATACTTTTATTTTAATGCCAAACAAAACCAAGCTTATTCCCATAGCATGACATGATCAAGTACGAACTTGGGATTTTATACTCTCATCAATAATGTATTTTTTATTTAAAAAAATACAGTATGGGCTTGACCCCAAATCTATGTAGAGTTCCATCAGAAATTTCCTTAAAGGCATAAAAAATATGGTTTAGAAAATTAATCAGCTAATTTAGTGCACTTAAAAGTACTAATTAGGTGCCAAAACTAAATTAAATAACGACAAGGAGTAAACAGTTCATAGGACAAAAATAAAAAAGAAACTTTTAACAGTGGCTCCTCCCTTGGATGTTGTTTAAAATATCTTTGGCATCTTAACTTTTAAATTTTCGAGTTTCTCTTAATTTCTAGCACTGGAAAAGGATCTTCTCCTTTGTGGATGTTCCTTAAGGAATTCAGCTAAAATTGTTTACCAGGGTAATTTTCCCTGCAGGAATTTCCAAGAATTGTGTTCTTATCTGCTTGAAAAGACATGGATTTGGGGTATTTTTTCCCTATCTTTGCCTAAAAATACATGTTTATCAGTAACTACACCTCAAGCTATGAACACACACCAGGCACTGGGAAAAAGAAGGAAAAAATGAGGGAAAAAAGAAGAAAAAATGAAGAAAAAATGAGGGAAAGTGGGAAACTCACCTTGAGCATCACCAAGTAATCATCATGTCTCTGGATCTGAAGCAGATTAGCCAAAGCCATCACTCCGGCCTTGAAATCAGGATTATTCACTGGAAAAAAAAAAAAATTATCATTAAAAATAAATGATAATTTATTTTGGTTTCACTGATTCCAGCAAGCAGAACTGGCTCCCTGACTCCATGGCATTGGATTGCTCTTAAGGATGTACAAGAGCAATTCCCCAGCATCCCTGAAGTGTTCAAAAAACAAGGATGTGGCAGCTGGGGACATTAATTAGTGGTAAATGTGGCAGTGCTGGGTTAATTGTTGGGCTCAGTTACCTTAGAGGGCTTTTCCAACCTTAATTCCATTATTCCAAGCAGCGAGGAAACAATTTGGCTGCAGAGGAATCAGCACTGGGCTACACAGCCAGGTGAAGTGCTTGAAAATAAAGCAAATTACAGGCAGATATTGTATTCTGTACATTCTTTGTACATTTTTATTATTTTATATCTTTTTATCCCTGCTGCTGGTGAGGGCAGGATCAATCCCTGCCTTTTTGGAGATGGAGGAATGGAAAAACACTTGGAAGATGTAGGGTTGATTTTAGCAGCTCTTTCCCAGCACTTCCATTTATTTTGTCTGTGCCTACCAGGAAAAAGAAAATGAAATTTATATTATGACAGAACAGCTGGGGAAGACTGAGCCAACAAGAAAATCCTGACAGCATGGAAGTAACCAGCATGCCATCATGTTTCCTTGGATATTTTTATTTTTGAAGGCATCTTGCTCTTAAAACAAGTAATTTTGATTTACAGAGCAAAGCTGTTCATGCAAACGTTCAGATCAGCGTTCCTAAAGCTTTAAATGGGGCTTAAAAAAATCTACATCACAGGATTAACCAACTGAGGAACACACAGGCCATGGAGCACATCCCATGCAGGAGCTTGTGACACACTCACCATCCAGGTTAATCAGTGGCTCTGCATTTTTTGCTGTGTTGTCAGCATTTTTAGCACCATCAGGGGTGGAATCCTTGTACTTATCAGCTGCAAAACAAGGAGGCAAAGACAAAAATCATCAGCACCAACAGCAAAAAGAACTAACTCAAAAGTTTAGCGAGGAGCTGAGGTGTTACAGCTGGATTTTTGGGGTGTGGTGGTTGCCCAAGTGCTTTGTGGGGTTATAAACTGAGATTTCTGGGTTTATAAACTGGGATTTTGGTGCTCCCCATTAATGATACCAAAAGTTGCCACTCCTGTGAGGTGCTCCAAGAGCTCCCAGCTGCAGAGAGGTTCCAGGAGCAGCCTCAGAGCTTCCACACTTTTCCACAGGGCAGGATGCTCTTCATTACGGAAGAGCACTTGTTCAGAAGTGCTGGAAATTTGGTTATTGAGAATTTCAGACTTTCTGTGCTGACAGACTCTGACCCCCAGGAGAACTCTGCATTGACCTGAGGCTGTGGAGAAGCTTCCAGAATGGAATGGCAGAACTGGGATTGTAGGGGTGGAGTTTGAATGGAAGTGTGTGATATCACAGGGTGGGAAACTTAAAAGAGTTTAAGGGTTTAGAATATAGTAATAGATACAAAGCAAGATGGAGGTTTTAGGGCGGAGGCTGATCCTTCTTCACCTTCTTCTCCATGGATTTGGGTGGTTTTGTGTAATTGGATAAAAAAGTCCTCATTGCAGGCAGGGGTGGTTGGTTATTGGGTTAAAAGTGAAAATAATTGAGGTGTCATTTCTTAATTGGACAGTTTGTCCTTGAAAGGCCTCGTAGAGAGAGAGAGAGATGGGGCTCCATTTTTAGATTGTTGAAGTGTTGCAGAACTCAGGGTCTGTGAGACTAACATTGATTAGAAAAAATAAACATCTGCTTATTTTGAGTTCCAACAAGAAATGCCATGATGCCTTGAGAAGGCTGCCCTAGAACAGAGACTGGGTGGAGTTAAAGAATAAAGCAGGGATTTATTAAGAGGCCTCAATGGATCCACCTTGGGCAGCACAACCCAAAATGGACACAAAATGGACAACTGCTCCCAGGGGCTCTCCCTGGGATCAGTTCTGCTCCATTGGCACCTTGGAGTTCATTGTCCCATTCCAGCTCCAGCCCATCAGTCCCACCCTGCTGGTTTTTCTCTCTCCAGCCCACGCTGTTTGTGCTCCTGGGCTGAGGTTTGGATCATTTGTCCTTGGTGCCCAGCTGGAGCAGGAATTGTTTTGTGTCCCTGCTCTGTGCACAGAGCTCAGCATCCCCTGATCTGGAGCCCAGACCCACACACTAAAGCAGCACAGAACCTGAAAAATATAAAAGCTAAAACCTGAGGCATCCCAATCTCACAATTTAATCCCAACCCTGGCAAAAAAGAAGCAAAGACTCAGCACACAAGCTGCATCTCCCAGATCTGCCACTTCTAAAATCCCTCAGTTCCACTGCCAGGGCCCTCTGCCTCGAGCAGGGATCAAGAACTGGGGGATGATGTTGGTCCTGATGAGCAAATGGAACATTTCCAGCTCAGGGTTTGGTTCACAGCCCACACTGGCGTTTTCCAAGCCTTTGGAGGATGAAAGCTCCTGAACTCCTCCTTTTTCACACAATTCCAAGGAACAGGCAGCTCATTTTGCCCATCATGAGGGACTGAGAATCCAATCACAGGTATTTGTATCCCATCCCTGCCCTGGGCAGAGTTCAGCCTGCAGGAATTAAAGGCAAGGGAAAAGCAGCACTTTGGCTGTTGTTATTTTGCCACCAGTAATCACATTTGTATTCCCACACTCTCCACAAGGAGATGGAGCTGCTATGACTTGGGGAAATTAAAACTCCACTTTTTCATAACTTTGTCCTAGTTCCCAAGTGTTCCACATCCCCTCCTTGTTAAAAAAAAAAAAAAAAAAAAAAAAAAAAAAAGGGGGGGTGTAAAAATAACTTCTCTGAATAAATGTAGTACTAAATATAAAACATTTAATACACTTCAGAGGAAGTTCTCATAAAGGCAATCCCACAGGGAGAAGGGGGCAAACATCTACAATGGGATTGGCTCTATCCAGAAACAAAATAAAATAACAAATGCAAATATGCTGCTCCAGTCCTGTGGGAGCTGAAAAGAAACAGCTCCTCTGAGCATGGGGTGGAAACAAGCACTTGAAATTGTGCTTTATCTTTTTAAAGAAGTGAAATATACTTTTGACCCTGTCTGATTTTGATGAAAAACATAAAAGCAGTGTGAATTTATGCAGGGGAAGGTGTCCCTGCCCATGGCACTGGGTGTGTGCAAGGGCGTTGTGACATCACAGCACATTTGGTGACACAGTGGGGGTGACAGCTCCTGTCCCCACGCTGCAGAGCTCCAGGTGCCAGACAGGGATGGCCTGAGCAGGATCCCAGCAGGATGCCCAGCCTGGAGCAGCTCCTGTTGGTGGCTTTTGGGCTCAGCTGTTTCTACCCTGACAGCTCCTCCCGCTCCTGCCCACCCTCCTGGGCCACCCTGGTGTGGGATGTGCCCCCTCTGGAGCTGGAGAAGAAGGGCAGTGCCCACAGGGGCATCACCATGCCAGAGGTGCTTTACTGGAGCATCCCAGCCCTGTGCCTGCTGCTCCTGGGGGTTTTCCTCAGCAGGAAAATCAGGATCTGCTGGAGGAAGGTGAGGGAGGGGTGCCAGGGGGCCATGGGGACAAGGAAGGGACTTCCCAGACTGTGCCCAGCCCCAGCAGGCAGAGCTGGGTCCTGAGCACTGTGGGGAACACCAGGACAGGGTTAGCAGTCCTGGGGTTGGAATGAGATGGGTTTTAGGGACCTTCCAACCCAAAGCATTCCACGGCTCCCACACAAACTGCTCCCTGGGGCAGCCCAGGAGAGGCCTGAGGCGCCCCTGTCCCTGTCACCCTGTGCCTTCCAGAGACGTGGCAGGAAGGATGGATGTTCCTGCAAGACCTCCAAGCTGCTCTCCAAGCTGAAGGAAAACCCTGACTTGCTGAAGCTCTACCTGAAGCACCTGCAGAAGTGCAGGACATCCTTGGTGGAAGTGTTCCAGGTCAGGCTGGGTGGGACTGGGAGCGACCTGGCCTGGCTGGCCCTGCCAGAGGGGTTGGACTGGAAGGTCTTTACAGCTTCCTCTCAATCCAAACCTCTCTGTGACTCTCCAGAAAAACCAGCAATACAATACAGGAGGGCTTCAAGGAGGAGACACATTTTACTCTTTGCCAAGAAATTCCCAGCTGTAGCAAGGCTCCCAGGAAGGCTGGACAGTGATGGAGCTGTCCCAAAACACAGGGACAGCACAGCTTTGGCAATAAAGGTTGCAGGTGGAACTGTCTCCAAGGTAAATGGAATGTGGAATGGATCCAGGGAACAGAGGAAGTGTCCCCACAGTGGGAATGCTGCAAAGCTCCTCCAACCAAAGGGAAGGAATTCCTGGCTGGCAGGGTGGGCAGAGGTGCCCAGAGCAGCTGTGGCTGCCCCTGGATCCCTGGAAGTGTCCAAAACCTGGTTGGAGCCACCTGGGATAGTGGAAGGTGTCCCTGCCCATGGATCTTTGAGGTCCCATCCAACCCAAACCATGGTGGGATTGTGTGAAATGAGTCAGAATCCCCCACTCCCCTCCCATTTTGAGGATTCCCCTCATACCATTATCTCCATACTCCAGCCTCACAGCCAAGCCAAGAAGCCAATCCACTGTTTCCTGTCGTTCCTGTATTTTGAAGGGACAGTTCACATCTTTCATGTACTGGGGAGCAAAAAAACAAAACAAAAAAAAAGAGAAAACAAATGGATTTTGGTGGTTGAATCAGTTGGGAGCACAGAACTGTTGTCACTTCCCCACAGAAAATATTAATTAACAAGAGGTGTCACTGTGAAATTCCTGCTGTGGCATCCAATCCATGTTGGAGTGTCCCAATCGACCTCTAGCCCAAGTCTGACACCTAATAATGGAATTTTATTTTTAATTAATGTTTTTTTATTGCCAGACAGCACCAAAATGCCCTTGGTTTGCTCTCTGCTCATATCACAGAGCAGATGGAACAAGGCAAGGGGGAACAAATTGGAACAAAGCTTTCCCACCTGGAATGAAACCACCTAAGGCTTCCCCAGACCCAGAGGATTCCCTGGAGTAATTTTCCCTTTTTTAGGGATTTTGTACAACAAGAGAGGACAAAACCAGGCTGAGGTTCTGTCCAGACCATGAGATCCAGCCCTGGCTGCTGCCAAGGCTCCCAAAAACCAGGACATGGTGACATTCTGTCACATCCCTTTGCTGCAGGGACAGGAGTGCCACACAGCTGGGAAAAGGAAGGCAGGGGCAAAAAAGCAGGAATTTCCTGGAAATGATGGAAAGGACACTCTCCCCAAGCCAGGAAACGCACCACAACAGCACCAGCTGCCAGGAATTCCAATAATTCCCATTTACCTACAGGATTTTGGAATAATTCAGGTTCCCCCTGAGCAGTGAGCAAAGCAAGAGTGTGCAGGAATAAAAAAAAAATTGGAATAAGAGGGCAGTGGGAATTACACAGAGCAGGGAAATGGCAAGCAAGAGGAAAAGCTCAAGAGCTTTGTGGTGGCTGCAAGTGCTCAGAGATGACCCAGAGTCCATCTGGATGCAGAAAATCCATCTGGATGCAGAAAATCCATCTGGAAAGGCAGGAGGAGCAGGGATGAGCTTTTCCCACAAGATGGCAAGGCCTGCAGGAGCCTCATGCACCTCCTTTTGGTACAGGAGGAGCAGTAATGCAGGAAAAAATGTGTTTATTTGCAGAAAAAAATGTGTTTATTTGCAGAAAAAAATGTGTTTACTTGCAGAAAAAAAACCGTGTTTATTTGCAGCCAGTCCTCTTTCTGCTTCAAGAGCTGAATCAAATCAAAAAAAAAAAAAAAAAAAAAAAAAAAAAAAAAAAAAAAAAAAAAAAAAAAAAAAAGAAATCAGATTAGGATGGATACTCCACCTATTAAACAAACAAAGCTGAGGGAAAACTATGCAGAAAATTGCCCCATCAAGTCGCCCAGTTTGGCTTCAATAATACACTGAAATTCCCAGGAATGCAGTAAGGCAGAGCTCCTGGTGTGCCACAGCAGCTGTGAGGTGTCAGAGCAAGGAAATACCTTCTCGAAGGATTTGGGCCACTCCTCGCTGTGGATGTTCCTCAGGTTGCCCCGGTCCTCGATTTTGTAGTGTCGGATTTTCTGGTCCTCCAGCCACACAATGAAATTCCTGAACTCGGTTTCATCTGAGGGCAGGAGGGAGAAAAAAAAAAAAACAACAGAAATTCAAAATTTATCTTAGGTTTTCATCTGATTCATACAAATCTTGATGCCTCTGAGCACTTTTCCCATTCAAATCCAACAATATTTATTAGAATATTTATTTATATGCTTAAATAAATAACTATTAAACCGCCACAAAACATCTATTTAGTGGGCTATAAATATATTTATTTAGTGGGGGCACATATATATATATAGCTAGTATACATTTATATATTTATAATATATAATATATATTTATATTATTATATTTATAATATATTTTATTTGTATATTTGTATTACACATTCAGTTAGTATATATTTATTTTAGTTAGTATATATTTTTAAATGTATATTTTAGTGGGCTATAAATACATATATTTAGTGGGGATATACAGTTAGCATATATTTATATATTAATAATATATATAATATATTTATAATAACTAAATTTATAATATATATTATTAGTATATTTATAATAGATATTTAATATATATTGATATATTTATAATAAAGATGATATATCTATATTTACAATATAGTTATATTTACAATATTATTCATATAATATATATTTAGTTAGTATATGTTTATTTTCGTTAGTATGTTTATTTTCGTTAGTATATATTTATAAATATATATTTTTAGTATGTACAGATAGTATAGTGATATATTTATAATATATTTTATATATTTATATACTTATAACATATATATTCATAATAGTTATATTTATAATGTATATATTTAGTTAGTATATATTTATTTTAGTTATAATATATTTATAAACATATATATTTTAGTGGGTTATAAATATATATCTCTATATAAAACCCCCCTATATATTTATATATTTATAATATATATTTAGTTAGTACATAACTATAATATTTATTGTGTATTTATATTTACATATATACAATAGAGCTGTATTTATATTACATTATTTATATAGTTATAATACACATATATTTAGTTACTATATATTTTTTTTAGTTAGTATATATTTATAAATAGATAACTTTTAGTGGGTTATAAATATATATATTTAGTGGGTACATATATAGTTAACATATATTTATTAGTTAGTATCGATTTATAACATATATATTCATAATAGTTATGTTTACAATATATATATTTAGTTAGTATATATTTATTTTAGTTATCATATATTTATAAATATATATTTTTTTAATGGGTTATAAATATATATATCTATATATAAAACCCCTCTATATATAATATACATTAAAAACCCACTAAATTGTGCATTCTCTGACCAAAAATCAACCCAGAGTGTTTTTCATTTTTCAGCTGACTGACCTCATTAAAGGCATCAGCCTACTTATTACTTTTATTGGGAATATAATTATAACTCAAGGAGCACAGAAACAGAGGTGAAAAAACAACAGAGAATTTGAATTTCTAACTCTTTTTGAGTTAAAACCCCTTTTTTTGAGCTTCCAGCAGAAGCACGACACATGCAGCATTCATCCTGCCAAAAAACCAGCATAAATATTCTTTATTTATGCCCATTTCCCCATTCCCCGCTGACTCCTTTTGACCCAAAATCCTGGTTTTTGAGGCTGGAATTGCAGTTCCCAGCCTGCGGTGCTGTCCTGGCTCAGGGCAAAGCTGGGGGGCTCCTCTGGGGAGGAGCATCGGCGGCCCCGGGGGGTTTGGGGCAGTAATTCCGGGAGAAAAGCGGGAGAAGGCGGCTCATGGAGCAGCTGGGGGCCACAGGAGGGGACAGCTCCGGGGCCACCGCGCCCCAGAGCGCGGCCGGGCATCCCGGACGAGCTTCGGCCACGGAATCACAGAAGGGTTTGCTGGGAAGGGACCTTTCCCAACCCAATCCCATCCCAATCCAATCCGATCCGATCGCCATCCCACTCCAATCCCATCCCATTCCGATCCCGATCCAATCCAATCCGATACCCATCCCACTCCAATCCCATCCCAATCCCATCCTCACCCTATTCCATTCCAATCCCAATCCCAAACCCAATCCCATTCCATCCCCATCCCATTCCAGTCTGAATCCCAATCTAATCCCATCCCAATCCAAATCCAATCCAATCCCATCCCCATCCCATTCCAACCCCATACCAATCCCAATCCAATCCGATCCTCATCCTATTCCAATCCAATCCTCATCCTATTCCATTCTAATCCCAATCCCAAACCCAATCCCATCCCCATCCCATTCCAGTCTGAATCCCAATCTAATCCCATCCCCAATCCCATTCCAATCCCAATCCCAATCCCATCCCACCCCAATCCCATTCCAATCCCATCCCCATCCCAATCCCATCCTCATCCTATTCCATTCCAATCCCAATCCCGTCCCTATCCTATTCCAATTCCAAACCCAATTCCATCCCATCCCATTCCAATCCCATCCCATTCCAATCCAGTCCCATCCTCATCCTATTCCATTTCAATCCCCATCCCATCCCAAGCCCAATTGCATCCCATCCCCATCCCTATCCCATTCCAGTCCGAATCCCAATCCAATCCCATCCCAATCCCATTCCAATTCCAATCCCATCCCCTCCCAATCCCAATCCAAATCCCATCCCCATCCCATTCCAATCCTATCCCATCCCCATCCTATTCCAATCCAATCCCAATCCCATCCCTATCCTATTCCAATCCCAAACCTAATTTCATCCCATTCCAATCCCCATCCTATTCCATTCCAATCCCAATCCCACCCCTATCCTATTACAATTCCAAACCCAACTCCATCCCATCCCCATCCCATTCCCATCCCATCCCTATCCCATTCCAGTCCTAACCCCAATCCAATCCCATCACAGTCCAATTCCAATACACATCCCATTCCAATCCCAATCCCATCCCCTCCCAATCCCAATCCAAATCCCATCCCCATCACCATCCCATTCCAATCCAATCCCAATTTCATCCCCATCCCGTTAAAATCCCAATCCCATTTAATTCCAATCCCATCCCTACCCCAACCCCATACCCATCCCATTCCAATCCCATTCTATTCCATTCCCATCCCAATCCCAACCCCAATCCCGGTCCAGCCCCCCCCAGCCCCTCACCCCTGCAGTTGAAGCCGCCGGGGTTGTGGTAGTCGAGCGCCGAGAGCTTGCGGCGGAACATGGTCCCGCTCCCGGAGCCAGCCGCGATCCCGGTGCCGATCCCGATCCCGGTGCCGATCACGATCCCGATCCCGATCCCGATCCCGGTGCCGGCCCCGCTCAGGCCGCGCTGACGGCCCCGCACGGGCCGGAAGGACGGGAACGCCCGCCCCCCGCGCGGCGTTCTGCTCGCTCATTGGCCAGCGCGCTGAGCGGCGGTCGCTTCGACCAATCGGAGAGCGGAACGGGCTGCCGGGAGGGGAAGTGGCCGCGCTGCTTTGGGTATGGACGCGGCGGAGGGGGCGGGGCCAGAGCGGGGGCGTGGCCAGAGCGAGGGGCGGGGCCAGAGCGAGGGGCGGGGCCAGAGCGAGGGGCGGGGGGAGAGCGAGGGGCGGGGCCAGAGCGAGGGGCGGGGGAGAGCGAGGGGCGGGGCCAGAGCGAGGGGCGGGGCCAGAGCGTCTTCATTCCCGTCCTGCCTCGACAGCGACCCAAGCCCTGTCCAACCTGGCCTTGGGCACTTCCAGAGATCCAGGAGCAGCCACAGCTTCCCTGGGCACCCTGTGCCACCACCCTCCCGGCCAAAAATTCCACATTTCCACCCTAAACTTCCACTCTTCCCGTTAGAACCTGTTACCCCTTGGCCTGTGGCTGCAGCTCCTGCGGGAGCATCCCTGTCCCACCCCACAGCTGGAGCTAGGCACATTGACTCCAGCATGGAGAAAAGGAGCTTTGCCCACGGTGTCACATCCTGCTTGTGGCTGGATGCAGTTCCCAAGGGGTTCTCCCCGTCAGGAGGGTTCAGCAGGAGTTTTGGGGCTGGGCTTTCAGTAGCTTTTAGTTCAGCAGCTCAGGGGAGAATAGGCTGGTTCAGGGTGGGACATGGCTGCTTGCTCAGAAACTGAGAAACACCTAAAATTCCCTAAATTTCATTGTCCATCCCTTCTCCCCTCTCTTTCCTTCTTCTCCCAGCCCTGGCACTCAGCACAGGAGCAGGAGAACCAGGAGTGACGAGGATGGAGGCAGTGAAACCTCTGCTCTCTGGTGGAACTCAAAATGTCCCTCAGACATTTTTAGAGGATCCAGGCCCTGGTCAGAAGCATTTGAGACCCTGGCAGGCAGCTGGAAACAGCTGTGATTTTGGGTTTGAGCCATGGAATGAGTTACCAACTTTGAAGGTGGACCAAACAGTCAAAAGGGTTAGATAGGATAGTAGAAGTAGTTACAAAACAGAGGGGAAATTTTTTTAGTATTGTACAGGGGGGGTTTTACTTTGTACATGGGGGTCAGAAGTTCTAAGATGGAGGAAAGTGGGCTGATCCTGTTCTTCCTCCTTCTTCTTCCTTCCCTCCATGTTCATGGTGATGTTGGCACTCACAGATTGGTTTAGAGTAGAAAGGCACCATTTAATATAGGTAATAGGCATTGGGGAAAAACTATAAACATATAATATGTAATATATCATATAAAAGACAGCAGCAGCCCTGGCGGGGGGAGAAGAAGCAGTCGGGGTCAGAGAGGATGTCAGGGTGTGTGTGTGCCTCTGCCTGAGCTGTGAGCAAACCACAGCAGCTCCAGAAGAAAATCTTTTTAATAACTTGCAATAAACTGCCTTGAGACCAAACAACAAGAGGCTGCAGAGTTTTTCTTTGGAAGCTCAGGTTGGAGGAGAGACTTTTCCACCACACGAGACCCCAGACCATGCCCGGGATTCTCCCAGCTCTCCACCCCTCCTGCCTCCACCCCCCATTCCCTGGTGGCTCTCTGCAGGAGCTCAGGGCACAAATCCATCCCCAGGAGATGAGCTGCCGAGCTGCTGGGCTCGCAGCTAATGAATGCAATTAGTGCAGATGGGTTTATTCTCATTAGGGAGCCGGGCAGGGGGAGCAGCATCTCGCCCACGCTCTCCTCACCTCCTCCTGCTCGACAGATGCTGCTCCAGAGCCGAATCCTGGGGAGGTGAGGATGGAAGGGGGCCAGGGAACAGCTGAGCTGCCTGCCAGGCGAGGAGAGACTTGGCTCCTTCTGAAATGTAAATTTTAAGGAATTTAGAGATTTTAGAGGAGCTAAGATTTTAGTTAGAAATAAGCCTTACTAGAGTTAATTAAAATAAATGAGTAGGCCTTGATGAAGTTAGGAGTTAGTAGTTAACTAATAACTGATTGTTTGTCAGCACAATGTTTAGTTAGCTGGTTTATAATGAAGAATACACAAACTGACAAATAGCTTTTAGGAACATGAGACAATTTTGGGCCTCCTCTGTTCTGAAACCAATTGAAGACAAGCAATGGGAGTTCTACCAAGAGTTCATTTGTCAGATTTGCATTGAAAAGGTAGAAAGGTCAGAACGAGGAAGACTTCATTGACTTCCTCATTTTGGGTCCCCTCCCCATGAAAGGGACACCCACCCATTTCAAGGAACAAACTACCCATGCTGAATAGATTTTGGAGTGATTAGCATACAAAGTGAGGAATGGGATGTACCAAAATGATGAATATGTATTTGTATTTTGGGTATTCAATACCTGTATGGATAAAAAGACTCTGTAACCACCTGGAAGCTGCGGTGTAGATTTGGGAGCAATCCCACACACAACAAACACACACTTTCTAACTTTAAACTGTTAGAGAGTTTTTGTCCATATTTTTTAATAAATCACTTCTTCCCCAGTGACACCATTTTTCTTTGGAGCTGCTCTGACAGACACGGAAAAGGATGGAGGAGCTGGGAGTTGATGCTTGGAAAAACTGGAATATTGGCACAGATCCCTGCTGGGCTGGCTGCTGGTGGTTTTATTTCAGAACCTACAGGGACACCTGGTTCCTGGCCACAGGGATGAGCTGAGGCCAAGCAGCTTTAAAATGTGGCCAGCAAAAGTGTCCAGCAGCTTTGCTGGAAAAACACTCACCCCTGAAGGTCCTGTGAAACTGGAGGGGAAATTCAGGATGTGGGGAATTTGGTAGGAGAACAATATGTTTCATTCTGTGATCAGGAAGAGTTTTGGTAGTAGAACAAGGAAGAATCGTGGAATCACAGAACCCTGGAATGGTTTGGGTTGGAAAGGACCTTAAAAAACATCCAGTTTGATGCCATGTCATTCACAGGGACACTTTCCACCATCCCAGGGTGTTCCAAGCCCTGTCCAGCCTGGTCTTGGACACTTCCAGGGATCCAGGGGCAGCCACAGCTTCTCTGGACACCCTGTGCCAGAGCCACACCACCCTCCCATTAAAAAATTCTTCCTTATATCTGAGCCTGAATCAACCCTCTTTTAGATGAAAACCCTTTTTGCTGTCACTCCAGGCCCTGTAAAAATCTGTCCTTCTTTAGAAGGTTCCTTCAGGTCCTGGAACGGGCTCTGAGGTTTCCCTGGAGCTTTCCCTTCTCCAGGTGAACACGCCCAGCTCTCACAGAGCATCGATCCAGGATTCTCCAGCTCCTGGAGCAGCTCCATGGCCTCCTCTGGATTTATTCCTGTGCTGAGTGCCAGGGCTGGGAGAAAAAGGAAAAAGAGGGGAGAAGGGATGAACAATGAAATTTAGGGAATTTTAGGTGTTTCTCAGTTTCTGAGCAAGCAGCCATGTCCCACCCTGAACCAGCCTGTTCTCCCCTGAGCTGCTGAACTAAAAGCTGCTGAAAGCCCAGCCCCAAAACTCCTGCTGAACCCTCCCTGATGGGGAGAACCCCTTGGGAACTGCATCCAGCCACAACCAGGATGGGATCCCACCTCCCTAGGGGTCGGCACACACACAGAGCAGCATCTCCAAAAGGCTTGAAACAAATCCAAAAGTTTATTTCCAACGAGTACACAGACCATGTGGGATGGGGATGCGCTACACCACGACTGGCTTTCGCCTACAACCACCCCCTCCCCAAAATCCTGCTGCTGGCAGGGTGGCAAGCCATGGACAGACTGCCACCAGCAACTTTTGCAGACAATAAAAGTCCTTTTTTCCAGTACTCCAGATATTTATTTTTTTTCTTTAAAAGCCTGGGGGTAGTGGAATGATGTTTGAGGCCAGGCTGGAAATCCAGCATGGGGATGGAGGGATGGGTGAGATTTTTGTTGTGAGGAGGGGAAACAACCTTGGCAGGCGATCTCTGCTTGGCTAACAAAGGCAGATCTGTGTAAATAGAAATATTGGGGGTGAAATACCTGGCAGCACACCAATGGCAACACCACAACCAACAGAAAAAATCAAGCCCAGCAAGGTAAAACACCTTCAATGAATAGTCTGGGTTAGTTCAAAATCTCCCCCTCCCCGCTCCCCCATATTCATGCAGGTTTATTTTGTTGTCTAAGGTTTTAAGAATTCGAGTTGTAAAATAGGCAAGTCATTAAAAAAATTATTACAAACCACTTTTGAGAAGGTGTTTGAGAAGGGGTGGGGTGGGAGCCCCGGGTCAGACCGGCTGCACTTCACTCTCTGTGACAATAAATCAGATAAAGAAGAAAAGACAAAACTCAGGATGGGGTTTTTACATCTCTGCCTGGTAACACCAAGAGTGAAACCAGCTGCAGAGCAAACCACTTCATCCACCCTTCATCCTTAAGCTAGAGGAGCTGTAGTAAAAAGAGCAAAATTGGGGAATTAGGGGGGTGCTGGGACCATCTAGGCTACTCGTGGCTTATAAACATTCCCAGGTGCCAAAAGTTTGGAGTCCAGTGTGAGAAGAACTGGCCTTCTCCATAGAAGAATTAGAAAAAGAGTATGAAAAGGTAGAAAAACCAAAAAACACTTTTTTTTAACGGGCTAGAAAGAGTTACCAAAAAGGTACCTAAAGACTTTTCCCCTCCCGGATCCACGGGGATTTTCAAAAGCTCACACCTGATTCAGAACTGGTTCAGCGGGATCACCACCGACCCCCAAACCCCGTTGTGACCCCCAGCTCATTCTGTACATAAATCCCCACGTTATGATTCCCCAAAGTGATGGTTCCCAAAGGGATGATTCCCAAAGTTTCCCAGGAGGACAGATGAGCAGGGGAGAGCCAGGAGGTGTTTAGCAGCAGAAAGGAGAGACAAACCACAGAAATATGGACTCGAGGAGGAGCCCAGAAAGGTGGTGTGTGTCCCCCCAAAGCTGGGAGCAGAGGAAGGAGACCTGGGAATAACTGCCCAGCCTGGCACGGAGCCCAGGCTGTGTGTAAACAGGGAATCAGGCACCTCCGGGAATGGGGGGCACCCCCATGGCTCCCAGGGCTGCTCCCCTGGCCCTTCCCAACGTGGGGAGGGGGCAGCGGGAACGGGAGGGGAGGTGGGGGCAGGAAGGGGCAGGAACATCCCAACAGAGAGCAGAATCCCATGGTGGGACAGCATCCCATGGAGGAGCAGCATCCCACCATGGAGCAGCATTCCATGGAGGAGCAGCATCCCACCATGGAGCAGCATCCCATTTTGGAGCAGCATCCCACCATGGAGCTGTATCCCACCAGAGAGCAGCATTTCATGGAGAAGCAGCATCCCATGGAGGAGCAGAAGCCCCCCATGAGTCTGTATCCCACCATGGAACTGTATCCCACCATGGAGCAGCATTTCATGAAGGAGCAGCAATCCATGGAGGAGCAGTGTCCCACCATGGAGCTGTGTCCTACCATGGAGCAGCCTTCCATGGAGGAGCAGCATTCCATTTTGGAGTAGCATCCCACCATGGAGCAGCATTCCATGGAGGAGCAGCATCCCACCATGGAGCAGAACCCCACCCTGAAGGAGCATCCCACCATGGAGCTGTGTCCTACCATGGAGCAGCATTCCATGGAGGAGCAACATTCCATGGAGGAGCAACATTCCATGGAGAAGCAGCAGCCCCCCATGAGGCTGTATCCCACCGTGGAGCTCTATCCCACCAAGGAGCAGCATTCCATGGAGGAACAGCATCCTACCATGGAACAGAACCCCACCCTGAAGGAGCATCCCACCATGGAGCTGTGTCCCACCATGGAGCAGCATTCCATGGAGGAGCAGCATCCCACCATGGAGCAGAACCCCACCACTGAGCAGCATCCCACCACTGAGCAGCACCCCAGCCCTGAACAACATCCCAGCAGCATTCCAGACCAGCCCCAAGGGAAGGAAGTGCTACCAGGAACTGGGAAAAGAGCAGGACCAAGCGAGGAGAGCAGAGGCACAGAGGTGCAGGAGAAAGGAAAGACCCGGAAAGAAGCGGTCGACTTTGATTTTTGGATTTCTGGCTCGCCCTGCGCCCGGGCTGGCACGTGCCCTGTGGCAGGAGGTATTTCAGGCACGTTGAAGGCATCTCAGGAGCTCTCTTGGCTCTCAGAACCGCCTCTGTTCCCTCCCTACGGCTCCTTCCACCAGCACGTGGTGCCAAGCGCTAGAAAAGAAAAGTCTGGAGCGGACGGACGGAATTAAACTCTCATGCACTACCACTGAATGTCATCACAGGGCCAGGAAGCACCAAGCACGACACGGGAACCACTTCTACTTGCAGAACCAAAGCAAACCATAGAGGGAATGGTCAAAAGTGGGGTTTGCTGGGGACACAGAGCTGCTGGCGTCCCCTCGACCCGCCCTGCTACGCTACGGCCAGAAATGAAAAAAGCACAAGACCAGACATTGAGTAACAGCACAGCCACCTAACCTGTCGCTATATATCTGACAACTTAAATCAAAAATATTAGCTTGGAAAGAAACCGACAATATCATTCCAAGAAGGTTATACACATCCTTAGCAGCTAACTTTGCTCAGCACAGCTCTGGTGCTTTAAATATGGAACAATCAAACAATTTTGTGAGCAGAAAAGTGACACCGATTTATTCTTTACATGGTTTTTTGTTTGTTTGTTTGTTTTTCTCTTTCTAGGCAACTCTACAGACTTCAGATCTTTTGCCTCGCAATGCAGATCATCTGATTCCCCCAAAGGTGGCCAGGTTCTTTAAACATGCACATCTCTGTAGCTTCCAGGCCGTGTTTTTTAACTTATTTTTGTTTAAATTCTGCGGACCAGCAGGTCGTCCCCATTCCTAAAAACTCTACATCAGTGTTCAGGGTGGCCTGAGTGCCCGTCAGGCTCCTCCAGGGTTTACAGGATCACGCAGAAGAACTTCTTCTCTCTGAAGGGGTTTTCTGAGGCCGGGACGGGGGTCAATAGAGGGTCCTCCTTGGCGTGGGCTTCGCAGTACGCCATCAGGTCTGCTGCTGCTTTGGACACCTGCAAAAGGAGGAACCCTGTGCTAGGGACAGGCTGGGGACATCCCACCTGGAGAGGTGCCACCAGCAGGGAAGGGCTGGCAGCATCCCTGGGCGGGGAACATCAGGTCTGGGATGAAAACCTGACTGACAGAGCGGCAGTGCGTCCCTGCCGGGGCTGGTCCTGGGCTGGTTCTTCACGGGGCTCTGAGCTGCTCTGGCAGCCTGAATTCCCATTCCTTCCCAGCCTTCCCCCATTCCCAGCCTTCCCCCATTCCCAGCCTTCACCTGACAAGGACTGACTTCATCCCTGCTGCCTCTCCCACGCATCCCTTGGCAGGAACATCCACAGCAGCGTTTCCTGCCCTCACCCACCAGCCTCGCTCCTTATTCCAGACACGGCAGCAGCTCCCAAGCCACCAGAGCTCATCCCAGCCCTGCAGCACTTCTTTCCCTGGATTTCAGATCCCAAGCCACCAGAGTT